TAAGGTCCGAAAGATCATGAGGAAGTTTCCTTGCTAAGCAAAAGAAATTTTCAGAATTATATTCTAGTTCATGGAAAATTGTAAGTCTTAAGCAACCTTTGCAAATAATTAATGTATGTTTCAAAAAATAAAATATATGAAGCACAGGTTGAGGATTCATAATAATTGCTGGAGTATGCATCAAACTAAGGCTGGATTCGTTTGAAATTTTGGTAGGGAAGGCATGAATACCGGCCTCCCACAGTCTTGGGTTAAATTGCAGAGTGTGTTATCCAAAAAAACCAAAAGAATACTGATTTGTAAAAAGTCTACTATCTTGGTCTTCAACTACTAAAATTAATACAAAAGCTCCTATCTAATTTGATCAATAAGAAAGTTTAAATAATTATGAAGACTCGTAGTAATTGCTGGAGTATGCATCAAACAAAGGCTGGACTCGTTCGAAATGTTGTAGGTGAAGCATCAGCATCGATCGATTTGCAAGTTTATTATCTCGGTCTTAAACTAAAGTTAAATTAGTGCAGTGCTAGCTCTAATCTAAATTGACCGATAGGAAAGTTTAAATAATTAGTAACAAATGGCTAACACGAGCCTATATTCGTCGGCCATGTGGTAATACATGCGTTAGTCTTCATATTATTAATTATTTTTCTTTGAGAAGCAGGCACGGACATGTGGTGCTCTAATCTAAATTGGTGCATTGCTCTAATCAAAATTGACCAATAAGAAAGTTTAAATAATTAGTAATCCATGTGGTGCTCTAATCTAAATTGACCAATAAGAAAGTTTAAATAATTAGTAATCCATGTGGTGCTCTAATCTAAATTGGTGCATTGCTCTAATCTAAATTGACCAATAAGGAAGTTTAAATAATTGGTAATCCATGTGGTGCTCTAATCTAAATTGGTGCATTGCTCTAATCTAAATTGACCAATAAGAAAGTTTAAATAATTAGTAACAAATGGCTAACACGAGCCTATATTCGACGGCCATGTGGTAATACATGTGTTAGTCTTCATATTATTATTATAGTATTATGAGATGAGGGAGGCCTTTGGCCTCCTCCTCATTATCCCTCCATTATAGTGGTGTAACACCCCACTAAGCGGGGGTGACTCTTGGGTACTCAACCTATTCATATTGACTAGTATAAATATATATCATAGGCCTTTGGCCTATGGATGGGTTTCAAACACGTTATCAGCATGTAGTGTTTTTGAATCCCTGAGCCATAAAAAAAAAATATTTCCTTCCTCTTTTGCGCATTGAGATCTGGTTCGTTGCAGCGGGAGCGTTCGACGGATCATCGCAAGGAGGCAGCGTTCTACGGATCTTTAGTATCGATCGTCCCTAGATCTTTGATCTAGAGGTAATTACTATAACCCGTAGAATAATATATGGCAGCTGGAAAATTAACAAAAAAAAGTGAAAATTTTGTTACTGTTCACCGAGGGTTACTGTTCACTCGGGAATTTTTCTGTTTATTAAGCAATTTTATTGTTGTTCATCTAATCTAATTGCTTTCATTATTTGTTGGCATAACTAGTAATTAATACTATTAGTTAATTGCTATTCTTAAAAAAAAAATTAACTGTTACTGTTCATTCTGAATATAAAGATTTTACTGTTCATTTAAAACAGTTTTAATTTTATGTTAAAAACGGTTACTCTTCATCCAAAGCAGTTATTGTTCATCCGAGATATAAATGTTCATAGGATTAATTAGTTATTGATTAAAATTCGAAAAAACAGTTATATAAATAAAAAAATTACTGTTCACAAAATGTACCTGTTACTGTTCAATTTATCTTAAAAGTTAGAGCATGTAGGTTTTGCACTGTCGCCATCATAGTCCCATGCACATGTCTCAGAGCCTAACTCTCAAAACCTATCCACATGCAACATCTTTAGATTTTTCATGTTTAATAATTACGGAAGGTCCTGAGATCGCTTTGCCGTTAGTAATCTAAACTAACGGTGCGTATGATATGTCTCCTCGTGGCCCACGTAATTATTAAATATTTAGGTTATATCTAATTATATGCCTGAGATGTTGCGCAATTGTTATGCCTGTTGCAAATATTATTATTAAATTGTGTGGATGTTTAAATAAATAATGTTGTGGGTTTTGGATCAGCCTGTTTGTCACCAAATTTAAATTCCTAGCAATTTCTTTTCCTTCTGAGAGAGAAATTGTAGTGAGGATATAATTGTAAAAAGTCAAAGACCGGTGTATTCCATTGAAGACGAAGGCATTTTTGCAAAATGCAGGGACCCCCAAGGGTTTTCCAAATTGTATTTTAATTTTATGTTTTTTGTTATCTTTGGACTGTATAATCGGACTTTGGACACTTTTTATTTTTTGGTGACGGGCTGATCCACGCAACATGTTTATTGCATGAATTTTTAATTCCTTATTATTAATTCATGTCTTTCAAATGCATAGATAAAATGGCTAAAATAGCGAGCGTTGATTTCGAAGTCCTTGACGCTGCTGGCAAGAATTATTTGCGTTGGCATGTGGACCTGAAGTTCCACTTACGTGCCCAGGGCTTATTAGCCACAATTTCAACTCCTGCTCCACCGGCTCCGGCCACTGTTACGGGTAATGCTATAAATAATGCTGAGGTTGCTACTACAGTGATCGTTTCTGATATAGATAAGGCGAAAGCCATTATCTACATCAGGAGACATATTGATCGGACCCTGAAGGCCGAATACCTGACTGTAGAGGACCCAAAGGAATTGTGGACTGCACTTGAGGACCGATACAAACATCAGAAAGATGTAATCCTCCCACGTGCACGTTATGAGTGGGAAAACCTCCGACTTCAGGACTTTAAGTCCGTAGCTGAGTACAACTCAGCACTTCATAATATCACCTCACGCCTGAAGTTGTGTGGTGAAGAAGTTTCGGAGGAACGCATGTTGGAGAAGACTTACACATCCATCCACGAGAAGGATGCAATCCTCATGCAACAGTACCGCGAACGAAAGTTCAAAAAGTATTCTGAATTGCACTCCACCCTTCTGATGGCGGAGCAAAACAGAGAATTGCTTTTGGCCACTCATAACCTACGCCCTGCAGGCTCAGCTCCTCTACCCGAAGCTCACATGTTTACTTCACAGAAGCAGAAGAAAAAGCATAAGGGTAAATTCAACAAGGGGAAAGCCCCTAAGTGGCAGGCCAGATGTCCACCCTAGAAAAACATCCCTCCCCAGAGCAGCAATAGTGAGGGAAAGAAAAAGTGGAAGAAGAAGACCACTGAGCTGTCGTCCATTCCCAAGAACATTTGGGAGGACAAATGCCACAGATGTGGCATGACTGGACATTGGTCCAGAAACTGTCGCACTCCGCGACACCTCCAAGATCTGTATCAAGCGAGCCTGAAGTCTCCTGTTGAAACAAATCTGGTGGAAAAGCAGTCGTCTACTCAGTTCACTGCTGATGACTTCGAAACGGATGATCTTCCCGACTAGATCCATGTTATCTTTATATGCATTTAAATTCTCATAGTACTTTCATCTTTAGTTCTTTACTTTCCATGTAATGCACTTTACTTTTCAATAAAGATAGTTATTTTCTTTAGATTAAAATATTGCATTCATGTTATAGATGAAGTGTGAGTGCCTTGTGGACAGTGCCTCGACGCACACAATCCTTCGCGAAAGAAGCTATTTCAATAGCTTATATGATTATGACGATCCCGTAATTACGATTTCGGGACTATCTAACATAATAGAAGGATTTGGTGAAGCAATGATATTGCTCCCAAATAAAACGATACTAATAATAAAAGATGCATTATTCTCTCCGAAATCTAATAGAAACCTCATAAGTGTCAAGGATATTCGTCTAAACGGATATCACTTAGAAACCAATGATATAAATGAGGATGAGTATTTGTATGTAACTCGTCAAAAAGATGGTTCAAAAACTATCTTAGAACGATTCAAGGGACTCCCGTCGGGTCTCTATCATACATATATTCAACCAGTAGAAGCTAACATGATTGTGCACCAGAAGTGCCATTCTTCGACGAAATTTAAACTTTGGCATAACAGACTGGGTCACCCAGGATCAGCAATGATGCACCGCATCATGAGCCAATCAAGTGGACACAACCTGAAGAACCTGAAGATTCTTCAGAAGGGTGATTACTCATGTCTATCTTGTTTCCAAGGTAAACTGATCACGAGACCTTCCCTTCTGAAAGTGGGATTAGAGTCTCCTAGCTTCTTGGAGAGAATACATGGCGATATTTGTGGGCCTATTCACCCCGCAAGTGGACCATTTAGGTACTTTATGGTACTTATAGATGCATCAACCAAGTGGTCTTACGTGTGCCTTTTGTCCACCCGCAACTTAGCTTTTTCAAAGCTATTGGCACAAATTATTAAGTTGCGGGCTCATTTCCCCGATAATCAAATCAAGAAATTACGTCTTGATAATGCGGGAGAATTCACTTCACAAGTCTTTCAAGACTATTGCCTAGCAACTGGCATCGAAGTTGAACATCCTGTAGCACATGTTCACACCCATAACGGGTTAGCAGAATCTCTAAGTAAGAGATTGCAATGGATTGCTCGTCCATTGTTGATGCAATCACAGTTGCCTGTTGAGGCTTGGGATCATGCCATATTGCATGCCGCATCGCTTATCAGAATACGGCCCTCTGGTGGCCATATTTTGTCACCAATGCAGCTTGCTTATGGTGCACCTCCGGATATCTCACATTTGAGAGTGTTTGGTTGTGCAGTTTACATCCCAATTGCTCCTCCACAAAGGACCAAAATGGGTCCACAGCGTCGTTTGGGTATCTATATAGGGTTTGATTCGCCCTCTATAATAAGATACCTTGAACCCCAGACGGGTGACGCATTTAAGGCATGTCTTGATGATTGTGAATTTGTTGAGGATTCATTTCCTAAACTTGGCACACAGTCCAGAAAGCCTGACGCTTCTAAGACCATTTCTTGGAACTCCAAGACTTTGTCTCATTATGATCTGCGTACTAGTCAATGTGAAGATGAGATCCTGAAGATTCTTCATCTTCAGAATACAGTACATTTACTTCCGGATAAATTCACTGATAACCAGAAGATTGTCAGATCACACGTCCCTGCTGTCAACACGCCAGCTAGGATTGACATCCCCAAAGATGGATGCAATCCGCCGGCAGCAGAAACGGCTGTACCTCAATTGAAAAGAGGACGCCCACCAGGTTCGAAGGACAAAGTCCCTCGTAAAAGAAAAAATCCTGGAGAAATAAAGATGAACCCAACACAGGATACTGAGCTCAGACCAGCTTCCTCTCCCCTCCTAGATTCCCCTGAAGAGGAACAAATAGGAGAAACATCATTAAATTTTGTACGTACTGAGGAGGTACTGGACAGAAAAAACATAGTCGTCGACGACGACTTTGCATTCAATATTGCCGTTCACGTCACTGAATACGACGATGACATCGAACCACGGTCTCTAGCGGAATGTAAACGCAGAGACGATTGGCCAAAGTGGAACGAGGCAATAGGAGTAGAGCTGGACTCACTCTTGAAACACGAAGTCTTTGGACCTGTAGTCCAAACACCTGAAGGTGTAAAACCTGTAGGATATAAGTGGGTCTTCATCAGAAAAAGAAATGAACACAACGAGGTTGTGCGCTACAAAGCACGGCTTGTAGCACAAGGTTTTTCCCAAAGACCGGGAATAGACTATGAAAAAACATATTCTCCGGTTATGGATGGGAATACCTTCCGATTCCTAATAAGCCTCTCATCTCTGGAAGGCCTAGAAATGCAGATCATGGACGTTGTGACTGCATATCTATATGGCAATATAGATAAAGATATCTATATGAAAATCCCTGAAGTCATGGACGTTGTGACTGCATATCTATATGGCAATATAGATAAAGATATCTATATGAAAATCCCTGAAGGATATAAAATTCCACCAGAGATAGCAGATAGACCTCGGGACGTCTATTCTGTTAGGCTTCAAAGATCATTATATGGTCTTAAACAATCGGGGAAAATGTGGTATAACAGACTAAGTGAGTTCCTTGCTACGCAAGGATTCACAAATGATAAAGTTTGCCCGTGTATCTTTATAAAAAGATCGGGAACATGATTCATTATAGTAGCCGTCTATGTCGACGACTTAAATCTCATTGGATCTCCTGCAGAGATAGCTGGGATATCTGAAAGCCTTAAGAATACTTTTAAAATGAAAGACCTAGGCAAAACAAAGTATTATCTTGGCTTACAGATCGAACACCTTAAGGGTGGTATCCTGTTACACCAATCCACATATACACAGAAATTACTTAAAAATTTCTGAATGGATAAATGTCATCCTCTTAGTACACCAATGGTTGTTCGATCATTGGATGTAAAGAACGACCCCTTCCGTCCGCTGGAAGAGGGGGAGGAAATGCTAGGTCCTGAAGTACCTTACCTCAGTGCCATTGGAGCACTATTATATCTGGCTAACTATACGCGTCCCGATATAGCGTTTTCAGTTAACCTACTAGCCAGATACAGTGCCACAAAGCGCCACTGGAATGGAGTTAAGCATCTTCTGCGCTACCTCCAAAGGTCTATAGACCTGGGATTATATTTCCCGAAGGGTGGGTCTCCCACCTTAATTGGTTATTCAGATGCAGGTTACAGGTCTGATCCCCACACCGAGAAATCACAAACCGGATTTGTGTTTACATTCGGTGGTACGGCCATCTCCTGGAGGTCTGTCAAGCAAACCACTGTAGCAATCTCATCCAACCATTCCGAACTCCTCGCGATCCATGAAACCAGCAAAGAATGTGTTTGGCTTCGTTCTGTCATTCAACACATCTTAGTGTCTACCGGCCTGAAGACTGGTGACCTTGAGCCAACTACTATATTTGAAGACAATGCAGCCTGCGTTGCTCAACTTCAGTCTGGCTTCATCAAGGGTGACAAGATGAAGCACATATCTCCCAAGTTTTTCTAGACGCACGATCTTCAAGAGGAGGAGCAAGTTAAAGTACAGCAGATCCAATCATGTAATAATTTAGCTGACTTGTTCACTAAGGCTCTGCCTAGATGTACTTTTGTAAAACTTGTAAAAGGAATAGGGATGAGACATCTGAAAGACCTACAAGCCTGAAGCTTGTATGGTTCAGGGGGAGTAACCTATGGGTTGTACTCTTTTTTATTAGGTTGATGGTTTTTTCCCACTGGGTTTTTCACAGCTAAGGTTTTAACGAGGCAAACAAGTTTACTCTGGATCCAGAAGTATCCACTCCATTAGCTTTACGAACCCTGAAGTGTTCATAAGCTAAACCCAAGGTAATTGATGGATAAGGGAGAGTATTATGAGATGAGGGAGGCCTTTGGCCTCCCCCTCATTATCCCTCAATTATGGTGGTGTAACACCCCACTAAGCGGGGGTGACTCTTGGGTACTCAACCTATTCACATTGACTAGTATAAATATACATCATAGGCCTTTGGCCTATGGATGGGTTTCAAACATATAGTTCTTTGAGAAGCAGGCACGGCTTTTTAATTTTTAACTTTTGTTTATTTTCTTTTGTGTTTGACAAAAGTTCGTGCCCGTGGGATCTAAATCTCGCATCTTTGAGTTGTTAGATTGACATTATATTGAGGATAAATTTCAGAGCACCTCTTCGAATTTTGGGTTCTCGTACATTTCTATACGTTAAAAGTATGCGTGACCTTAGACCTGAACAAGATATACTTCTATCTTTTACTAGTTTTTATACACATGCATTGCATGTGGTTAAATATCGTAATTATTTATTTTTAGTTTATTTCCTTTCTAAAATTTATTCTTCGATTACAATTTGATAGTTTTTGCTCATTTATGCCTCTAAAATTTAATATTGCGATTATTTATTTTCTTTAATGTTCGTTTGAATGGGCTACACCCAATTTTAAGTTTCTTGCTAATAATTGAATTGTCACGAAATCAATTTGAAGCCAATTTATATATTCATGTTATTTGGATCGACATGAACGAAGCTTTACCTAAGGAAGTATAGTGTTGTAAAAGTAAAGAAATACTTGAAAAAATAGCATTATAATAGCAAGAGGAATAATTAAAGTCAATAAGCCTAGACGATTAATTAGAAGTGGCTAAATAAAAAAAATATGAATTTTATTCCTAATCATTGATAGACTTCATTAAAGACCATAAAC